TAAGTTAGTCGATCGAACTCTATACTAACCAGGAAATGACAAAATATATTTGAATATACATGTACATACATGATGATCAGCCGCATATAATACATAATAAATAGACCCACTAAATTCTGCGGTGTGTATATGATTGAAAAATAAATAAAATTCTAAACCAATTTTATTTATTACAAGAAGAGAAATGGATGCATTGATAATTAAAAAATAATTATGAATAATTTATATAGTCTAGTAACTTTAACATCACATCAATATTATTTTTTAAAAATAATAGAGCAAGAACAATAACAAGTGATTTAAATAAAAAGAATTTGGGAGATTTTGGATTACTTAACAGATCTGTAACGACCCAGCCGGTCCTTTTGAGAATTTAAATCCCGTCCGGCGGCATAAGGCCCTGAGCAGCTTCGTATTATGTGCCTTGACTTGCGTGCGTGGTTGAATTCAATTATCGGGTGATTCGAAGTGATTTGGGACACTTAGTCCCTAAATGAGAGTTTAAGTCTTAGAATTTGGACCGTAGTCAGAACTGTATGAAGACGGATCCGGAATGAAATTTCGTCAACTCCGTTAGCTCCGTTGAGTGATTTTGAGCTTATTAGCGCGTCCGGAATATGTTTTGAAGGTCTGTAGTAGATTTAGGCTTGAATTGGCGAAAGTTAGATTTTCGGCGATTTCGGCCGATAGTGAAAATTTTGATATCGAGCTCGGAATGGATTTTCAAAAGTGGCTATAGGTTCGTAGTGTCATTTGTGACCTGTGTGCAAAATGTTAGGTCATTCGGACGTGGTTTGATAGGTTTCGGTATCGGTTGTAGGAATTTGAAGTTTCAAGTTCTTTAAGTTTGAATTGAAAGGTGATTCGTGATTTTAGCGTTAGTTGATGTGAATTGAGGGCTCTACTAAGTTCGTATGGTGTTTTAGGATTGGTTGGTATGTTTGATTGAGGTCCCGGGGGGCTCGGGTAAGTTTCGAGTGCTTAATGGATTCAAAAGTTGGATTTGTGTTGCTGCTGAAGTCTTCGGGCATTTGTCATTTTCGCACCTGCGGTGGAGAGACCGTAGGTGCGTGATCGCACGTGCGGAGAGGCAAGCGCAGAAGCGGATCTGGGATGTGTGGTCAGGGGTCGCAGGTGCGAAGGAAAATGCCGCATCTGCGATGCCCGCATATGCGCTAAAGGACACGCAGGCGCGAAGGAGATCGCAGAAGCGGACAATAGTCCGCAAGTGCGCACTCGCAGGTGCGGCCCTTTTTCTGCAGAAGCGGACCCAGCCCTCTTAAGTCATTTCTGCACCTGCGAAGGAAATTTCACAGGTGCGGCGTCGCAGGTGTGACACAAGATCCGCAGATGCGGAATAACTGGGCAGAAAAGGGGCAGATTCGAGGGTTTGAAGTTCACTTCACAAATTTGATTGAGAGCTCGGTAGAAGACGGAATTTGGAGAGATTTTCGGAGGAAGTTTTTGGGTAATGATTTTTAACTCCCTTATGGTTATATTCCACTAATCTATACTCGAATTCATCGTTTAAATTCGGATTTGGGGTGAAAAATTGAGAAAAGTTCTTAGGCCGAATTTCGGGGTTTTGATCGAGATTTTAGTGTCGAATTTTAGTAAATTTGATATGGTTAGACTCGTGAGTGAATAATCTTTCGTATTTTACGACTTTGACCCGATTCCGAGAAGTGGGCCCCACGGGCGACTTTGAGTTAATTTCGAAATTTTCGTTAAAATGTTGATTTCGTTAATTAGATGAGTCTATTATTGTTGTAATTATGATATGTAATTGCTTTTGGCTAGATTTGGGCCATTCAGAGCCGGATATTCGTGGAAAGGGCATTCTTACAGATTGTTTGAGCTTGACTCGAGGTAAGTATCTTGCCTATCCTTGTGTGGGGAAACTACCTCTTAGGATTTGAGTCATCTATATTGATTGTAGTCTGTGTACGCGAGGTGACGAGTGCGTGCTCAGACTTATTTGTGAAAAGTTGGCCTTTTAGGGTTCTTATGTCCTTATATTCACCGTGTATGATGTTGTTCTTGATACGTTTGAATTCCTATTTGCTAGTTTCACCTCTACATGCTTTGATTAGAGATAATTGCTTTAGGATTCACTCTTATTGTCTATTTAACTCTTATTCGACTTAACCAAAGATTTTACCTCTTCTATCGTCGTGCTATATTTTTTATAACTGCTTATCTTTAATTGAAATCATTATTTTCTCATCCTATAATTGTTTAGTCCTAATTGGAGTTATGATTATCTTCCGCTGCTTATCCTTACTTGAATTGTTGAATATTCCTCGTAATTGCTCAACCTCAAAAGGAGTTGAGATAACCTATATCTTAGTTGACTTGCCATTATTTGGAACTATTTGACTCGTGTTGGCTTCTTATTGTTGACTTGAATATTATGGAATCGTTGCTACATTTTTGTTTTATTTTCTCTTGTTAAGTTGTTCTCCTTGTGCCTAGCATTCTTTACTGTGGTTATTCCTTGTGAATAAGTTCTATCGTTCTTGTGATTTAAATTCTTGAGTTGATTTGCTCGTCGTACTTTGCATTTCTGTCTTTATTGCTTCTGTACTCGTTGTGATGATGTACGAGGTTTCTGTCGTGTTATAGTTGTTATCTCTTTTGTTTGCGCTGCATATTTAAATTGGGACTACAGACGTATTCCGGGAGATCCCCCAATACTGCATATTTAAATTGGGACTACAGACGTATTCCGGGAGATCCCCCAATACTGCATATTTAAATTGGGACTACAGACGTATTCCGGAAGATCCCCCAGCACTGCATATTTATTTTGGGACTACAGACGTATTTCGGGAGATCCCCCAGTATTGCATATTTATTTTGAGACTACGGACGTATTTCGGGAGATCCCCCCTCCTCCCCCGGTACTGCATAATTAATTCGAGACTACGGGACGGTATCCCGGTAGATTTTTCCTGTGGTTATATCTATGTTCGGAGCTGCTAATCTTCTATGCTTAGGTGTCACAGGGTGACTTATACTCGAAGGAATATTACTTGAAAAGTTTATATTTGAAAAGTATTTATCTTGAAGGAACTATGTTTAAAGATATTTATTTGAAAGGGGTATACTTGAAAAGTATTTATCTTGAAAGAACTATGTTTGAAGGCTAATTATTTAAAAAGTTTATATTTAAAAGGTTTTATCTTGAAAGAACTATGTTTGAAAGATATTTATTTGAAGGAAGTATATTTCAAAAATAATTTCTTATTGGAAAGGATTATATTCTAAAGACGTCAATTTAAAAACTTACGGGTGAAAGTTTACACTTGAAGGATTTGACTAATTTATTGGGGTTGTTGGCTGAGACCTGATGTGAAAACTATTGCAGCTGCTGAGTTACTACTTGCCTTTACTGTATTATGTTTTTTTTTCCTTCCTTATTGCAGTTGCTATGTAGCCATATCGCGGGGTCCTTAGATAGATGTCATGTTCTGTCATCTCTATACTTATGCTTGTTCAGTTTATTAGATCAGTGGGTGTCTTGACCAGTCCTCATCACTACTTCACCGAGGTTAGTCTTGATACTTACTGGGCACTGCTGTGGTGTGCTCATGCTACTCTTCTGCACAATTTTTGTTTTTGTGCAGACCCAAGTATTTATTCGTTAGCTAGCTGTGTGGACTGTCGCTGCGGAGACTCAAGGTAAACCTGCCGCTGCATTCGTAGGTTTTGGAGTCACCTTCAAGTTTTTATTTTGCACTGTTATTTCTTATTTCTGGACAGTTATATTTAGAAATTTTCTAGCAAATACTCTGTAGAGCTTATGACTTGTACTACTGGTTTTGAGAATTATAAGAGATTTCTATTTATTTTGTAGATGTTAATTAAATAATGTTGTTTCAATTAATGTTAGGCTTACCTAGTCCCTAAGACTAGGTGCCATCACGATACCAAACGGAGGAAAAAATTGGGTCGTGACAAGATCAAGGGTTATTTTTAAAAGTTTGCTGATTGTAGGGGTAAATTTGGCCCGATAGTATAATGGTAGGAGTATATTTGGCCCGATAGTATAACAGAGGTTAAATGTAAATAATATATGAAAGTAGATGGGTATATTTGGCCCTTTTTCCTTTATGGTTTGAGCATAACCAAAGACAAGGGGAATAATTTTGCTGTAACTCCACACTCCCATTTCTATAATATAGACCTTTTTTCTTATCTGGTGGATCACACGAAGGAGATGACTGATTTGTGAGAAGAATTGCAGTAACTACAAGGGATTTGGGGCTTTCCGTTAGGTTAGAGTGCAAATTTGAAAACTTTGCTAACGGTGAGGGTATATTTGACCCGATATTATAACAGAGGATTAAATATGAATAATATATCAAAGTAGAGGGGTATATTTGATATTTTTTCCTTTTTTATATAATGGAAGTCTAAAGTAAACAACAAATGACTTGATCTAAAAAGAATAGTATTAGTGGGAACTAAAGTCGCCATAAAGTTAAGGGTTGAAAGTGTAAAATCACTTTCTGTGACGACTACAGTCGCCACTGAAATCGGAAAGGTCGCTATTAATAGTCTGTTTGATGCCACTAGAGACCTTACCTGTGTTGACTTTAGTGGCGAAACAAAAAACTTTTAACACAGGAGCAAAGAAACATTAAACCAACATCTTATATTAAATGGATGTGCATGAATAATATTTTTAAGGAACTCAAAAGACAAACATCCGTTGAATTTGATTTATCATATAATGGAAGTGTAAAGCAAACAAGACATGACTTGGACTAAAATGAGATGAGGCAATTTGTCTCAAAAAGAATAGTATTTGTGGCAACTAAAGTCGCCGTAAAGTTAAGGCTATTGCGGCCAAGAAAGTTGTGACTGAAAGTGTAAATACCTTCTGTGGCGACGGAAGTCGCCACTGTAACCGGAAACAGTCGCCACTAAGGATGGTCATATCACTGTGGATTTGGGCTTACTATAATTTATCCCAGATGCAACAAACAATATGCATGGCCCTGTTTCCGGAAACAATCGCCATAGTGAGAGGACTAAAACAGAGAGATCCTCTATTCCAATCACTTTTTATTTTAGCAGCTGACGTTCTTTCTAGAGCTCTTAACAAACTCAATGGAAATAACCAATTCATTGGTTTTTCCATGGGTAATAAGGGCCCTAAAATTAACCACTTAAGCTATGTAGATGACCTAATTCTCTTTTCTTCTGGTGACAGTAAATCCATAAAATTACTATTAGAGTGTTGAATGATTATCAAGATGCACAGGACAGGAGATTAACAAAGACAAAAGCTTTTTCCTCACTCAGAACTTCATAGACAAAAGAACTAACAGAAGGATCAAGAGATGGACTGGCTTCAACCAGGCTAAATTCCCATTCACCTATCTGGGTTGTCCAATATATACAGGAAGGAAAAAAGTGTGCCACTTCTCTGACTTAGCAACAAAAGTCCTTAACAAAGCTGGTGCTTGGCAAGGAAAGCTTCTTTCTTTTGGAGGAAGAGCTATCATCATCAAACATGTGCTACAGTCACAAACCCTGTATTCTCTCGCTGCAATGGTCCCACCAAAGACCATTATTAGACAGATAGAAATGTATTTGTCGAATTATTTCTGGGGTTTGAAAGAGGGGAAGAAAAGATATCACTGGAGCTCTTGGGACAATATGAGCTTTCCTTGGGAGGAAGGAGATCTTGGTTTCAAGAAATTACAAGATATATGCTACTCTTTTGTGGCAAAAAGATGGTGGACTAAGTTCATAAATGCTAAATATTATCCTAGGTCCAATCCACCGTCTAAAGTTATAAACTCAAATGACTCTAGCACTTGGAGAAACCTTCTGGAGACTAGGGAAAAGATTGAGACAAACATCCATAGGAAGATTAACAAAGGAAATCGTTTGTTCTGGTGGGACAAATGGACCTTATTTGGACCGATCAAGCAACAAGCCAACCTATCATACAAACCTGGCAACAACAAGACCATGGAATACTTTCAGAACCAGATTTGGAATAGGGATCTTCTACAACAAATAGTCCATCCCAGGGTTATTCAGGAAGTCTCTCAGGTCCACATTGGAAAGCAAAACATCAACGACCAAGCAATATGGACCCTTAATGCACAAGGAACCTTCACATGCTCCTCTGTCTATCATCTCTTGAGAAAGAAAAGAGATCATACACCATGGCTAGCCAAAATATGGGATAAAGATCTATCTTTCAAAATCTCCTTCAACACATGGAGAATCTTGAAGAACAGATTATCTTTGGGTAATATAATTCATAAATTTGGTATTAATACGATTTTCACTTGTTGTTGTTGCAGGATACCAGAAGAGGAGACCAGGAATCATGTCTTTGCGTCAAGTGAATTTGCTAAAAGGATCTGGAGAACAGTTGGATCACCACTGGGATTACAATCAAGCACAAATACCATCATAAGTATATTATATTACTGGTGGAACAAACAACCCAAAAATCCAGTCCACAAATACTTACTCCAAATTACTCCTATCATTGTTTGTTGGGAGATATGGAAAAAAAGTACGGAAACAAGTCACTATCAGCATTTAGGATCTACCAACAAGTTCTTTTCCAAGTCAAAATATCCATGGGCAAAAAATACAGTAAGATGGATTGGGAATGGTCGTGGAGTAAAGTTTGCCAAGTGGTGGAATCCTATAGACCAAAACCTACAAGTATCATGGTTACATGAAACAGTCCAGAAGGTAACACTTGGAAATTGAATACAGATGGAAGCTACATGGAAAGTATTAACAAAGCAGGAGCTGGTGGTATTGTTAGGAAAAGAAATGGACAGCTGGTCATGGCTTTTGCCTCCCCAATCCAATTCTCAACTAACAACTACTCTGAGGTTCAAGCTGCACTTCAGGGGACTCTTTGGTGTTGTGGCCAAAATTGTTTTAATTTCATATTGGAATTGGATTCGATGTTGGTTGTCAATATGATATTAGGGAAGTATAAAGCTCCATGGAAATTGCAGAATGATATTGACCAGATACAAGACTGCATGGGATCACTGTTAAGCACTGTTACAGGGAAGGAAATAAGGTCGTAGACTCATTATCCAAATATGCTACTACTATTACTGAGAAGGTGACTTTCCTAAACAGCAAGATCTTCCTAACGAGGTTAGAGTACCACTAAGAATGCATTGGGATTTTAAGCTTGTGTTGCTTAAAAAAGGTGAATGAGAAATGGAGGGAAAATAAAATATTTGAGTTTTCCTTGGGAAAGGGACATTGTCCCATATCGGAGAAAGAAAAGGTTTTTGATGGGTATATATATAATTGCTTTTCTTCTAGCTCTTAAAGAGTTAAGAAAAAGGCAAGCCTCGCGCCGTCGTCGTCGCTCGGTTTCGGCTTCGGATTGGACATTCAATCCGGAATAACCCGCGACCCGGTTCGGTCAGACCCGTTTTCTTTTCCGTATTATTTTAAATATATTTTTCCCGCAATATTTCAAACACCCCTTTTCCAACAGCCATGGCTGTTTCTTCCGTATTATTTTAAATATATTTTTCCCGCAATATTTCAAACACCCCTTTTCCAACAGCCATGGCTGTTTCT